AGCGGCTCACTCCGGTGGATGTTGAAGTGGTGGCTAGAATGCTGAGCTGTCTCTGGACCGTGAGCGGTCTCTGGCTGCGGGGCCGTGAGGTTCAGGCTGACGATGGCGATTGGGTCGATGACGATGGTGTCGATTTGGAGGTGGACAGAAAGTGCGTACGTCATCGGCCAGGAAATCAGTGGTGTCAGGTGGAAAATGTGCTAGAGGGTTGACACGGTAGCTGCCTGGATGGCCTGGAGGGCCTGGTAGAAATTGAAGTAATCGACTGGCGCGTTTGAGGCGCATGGTAATCCTGGCTAACTCAGTGACACTCTGGCGGTACTGAAAGTACAGCCGGAAAGCATCGGCATCGGTGAAAAGGGTGTGGTCTGGTACGGGACTGTCGATCATGGGGTGATTGAGGATCTGGATAACCACGTTGGCAAGGCTATCGAGAAGGCCTTGCGTGTAGAGAAGTTCAGGTTGGTTGGTAAGTGAAGGGTCAAGTGTGGAGGAGGGTTGTCTGGGAGAAAGTGCGTCTCGGTGGCTGAAATCTGCTCTGCAGGTGGTGACCGCGGGGCGCGAGGCGGTCGGACGTCAGCTGGGGCCGTGGTGAACGAAAATCGGTCTGTACACTCAAAGCAGTCGAGAGGTTGAAAATGGCTGCGGTAGCATGAGGTAAACTGGCGATCAAATCTCAGAAAAAATGCGGTATTCAGCTGCGCAATGCAGTAAAATGGCTGGAAAGATTGATTTGGTTTCAAAAGTGCAACGGGGCAGAACTGCAAGGGCCTGCACACGATGGTTCAGCTGTGCATGGAGGTTGTTTGCTATAGGCGCGCCGAGGAGAGCTGGGTGAAACAGAGACTATTTATATAAAATAGCTACCAATATCAGCTGCTGCCGGTTCCGGATGACTGTCCTCACTGATGGTTGCTGGCATAGCATCGGCCATGGCGGCGGCAGCCGGTGCAGGTGATGGAGGTGTTGTAGGAGTGTAAGCGAAGTCCGGAGCTGAAGGGGTTGCTGGTGGTGGGATTGCTGCTGCGGAGGGAGGTGAAGGGACAGGGGAAAGAGGTGGTGGCGTGTGGGCGGGTGAAGTAGGTGAGGGCGGTGGGATGACTGCTTGTTGTTGGCGTTGTGCTTCTTGAAGTTCTTCCCAGCGTGCTTTGCACTGTGCAATTGAAAAGCCCACTCGACGAGCAACGTAATTCCAATTCGGTCGCAGGCGGGTATCGGTTTTGAGTTCCACAAGGCGAACTTCAGCGTCGCCATCCCAAGCGTCCCAATCAGCATCTTCTCTGAGGGGTGGTGGAGGTTCGCGTTTCTTCTTGGGTTGTGGTAGTGGTGGTGGAGAGGTGGAGGTTGAGGATGCTTGTGAAGGGGCACGCTGTGGTGGCGCATGCTTGATGGGGGCAGCAGGAGCCGAATCACAGGAGGAAGTGGGGGAAGGGATAGGAACTGCTGTGAGGGGAGCCGGAGGGAGGGCCGGAAAAGGTCGGTGAAAATGGGGGTCGACCTGCCGTGTGTGAACAAGATAAAGGCTGTGTAAATTGGCCAGGATGTCGGTCGCTTGCTGGAGTATACGATGAAGCTGATTGAGGGCAATCGTAGTTCGATGGATGAGTCGAGCTTGGTCGGCATGAGACTGCATCTTGAGGAGCAGCGTCTAGGTCGGGCAGCTGAAGTGGCCGGCTGGAGCAGCGGACGGCGCAGCGCAGGTAGCAGCACTGCATGAGTGGCCGGTGCAGAGAAGCGGAGCATGCAATTGAATTACGAAAATGAATTATTGAGCGCGAATTTTGCGGGACAGACAGAGACACATAGTGTGTGTCTGAAACAGTACAGCCTGAAATGAACTAAACCTGCAGTTTGTCCTTGCGCAAAAGGAAATTGATCAACAAAAATTCAGCAATCTGCAAAGACTAAAGATAATCTAAGCGATCATGCGCGAGAATTCGATCAAAGGGCAAAATGAACACCAAAACTGGCTGTCGGTTAGAGAAAGTACAAGCTATTGTACAATGAGACTGAAATGCAATACATGGGATCGTAGCGCGCTGGCATAAAGACTGGAGCTCGAATTTTGCAAAGCTGGCGTTGGTGGTGGATGTGAAACTCATGGACGGGCCTCTCTCAAGCGTGTGGAGTTGGTATTGGCGTTGAAGAAGGTGGGTGGGTCGGTGGTATGTGGCGGAACCTCAAAGGTCCGGAGGTGTTGCATTGATAGACCACGCCAGTCCTTTGACTATGGCGTTATGGGGGTGAATCGCCCAGCATCGGGCTTTTGAGTGGCAAACAGCGCCGTGGTCTTGTTGCAAGAGGTGCATGGCTTGGGCTTCACCGCCGCTGGTGAATTTTGTCCCCCGGCCCCAGGCGAGGAGATGGATCATGATAGAATGGATGATTTTTGCCAGCTTCCACGTGTTGTGTAGTACGCGGGCCTGTTCATAGTTGTCGTGGATTGGCTGGTGAGTAATGCGTGTGGCTTGGGCGAAGAAACCCGGGTTGGTGTCAAAGTGAAGGGCGCTGGGCAGGAGACGGCCCTGTTGTAGAATGGCAGTGATGTTGCCGTGGGGGCCTGTGTGGCCGGCGTTGATGTGCACTGTCTCTGGGGTAGTGGATGTGGCACGGGTGGCAGGCGCTGGTATTGGGCGAGTGGCCTTGTCGACTAGACTGGGAATGTTGATACAGTGGTAGGAGAAGGTGTCATAAGTATTGGTGGTGTCATTCCACTTCACATGGTTGAGTTGTCGGAAGTCTGCCAAATCGTCGATGGTGTAGCCGATGTCAGCGAGCAGTTTGGCTACGTATGCGTGTTGTGGTTTGTTTTCTGCTGCCAATTGTGCAGCGTGAAAGTCGAGCCACCATTCAATCTGTTCTTGGTGGGAAAGCTGGTGGAAATGTGGTGGGGGTGGCTTTCAAGGCGGATGGGGCCGTCGTATTGCTGGAATGTTGGGGAAGTCTGCCTGGAACATATTTGTGATTTGGTGCTGAGGTGTAGACTGCTGATTGGGTCGGAGGGTGATGGGTGCATGGGAGCGGCTGCGGGAGCGGCTGTCTGAAGATGTGGTATATGAGGTTGAGGTTGAGGGGGAACGGCGACGCCGGCGGCGTGTCGACGACGCTTTGGCAGTGGAGGCTGCAGGAGAGTGGTGATGTCCGGCGCGCTTGGCGCGTGTGTGGCGACTGTGGTGGCGGCGACGACGTCGGCTGCGGCCTCTGCTGCGGTTGGTGCGGCCAGTGGTTGCAAGAGAGGCCGGTGTTGTGAGGGGTGTGCCTGAATGGGTGGGTCCAGCCGCGGGAGGTTGCTTGTGAGGCCCGGATTGGGTACTGAAGGTGCTTCCGTTGGGGGTGACAGCGGTGGCTGGTGGTGGAGTAAAGTTAGTGGTTGGTGACGTGGAAGGTGGCGTAGCGGTTGTAGCAGTGGTGGTCTGAGTGGGATTGGCTGGTGTGGGGACGTTCGGAACGTCTGGAGCGGGTGGCGTGGGCGCCACCGTGGAGGGTGTTGGATCAGAAGGAACAACGGTGGTTGGGGCTGAGGCTTGATGTGGCGAAGGGTGAGCAACGGGTGGAAAGAGGGAGTAAGGCTGCCAAACGCCTTGAGAGTGGTCCCAGTGAACGGGAGCTTGCTGGGCTGGTGGTTGTGGTTGTGGTGCTTGGGGAGCTGGTGGAGCCGAGGGCGCTGGTGATGCATGTTGCAAAGAGGGTGGATGGTGGAAAGGTTGTGCTGGCATGGTCTCAAATGCCTGCATCTGAGGTGGTGCTGGATAGGCGTGTGTGTGAGGCACAATAAAAGTTGGTGCCGGTGGCGGATGTGTTGGCATGGGAGGTGGCCACGTAGGAGGTGGCAGTTGCGGTGGAGCGGTCTGAAAGTGAGGGAAGATGGACTGCTGTGCTGGATGAGGCAGAACGGGAGTGACAGGTGCCGGTGGTGGAGAATGGTGCCATGGTGGTGGCTGAGTGCTAACAGTAGGTATTGTGGATGCGGTACACGGTGGTGGCCATTGTGGATATGGCCAGGGAAACTGCATGTGAAGAGCGATGGAGAGGTCAATCCGAAAGGCTGCAGACAATGGCGCCGGCGCGGCACAGCAGCGGAAGTGAGAAATTGGAGATGGCAGTGAATTCTGGAACCTGAGTGCGTGTGCTGTGAAAAAATTAATTAAGATGACATCTCGGCATGCAGTGCAATCTCTGGGATGTGTAGTATTGAGCATGCATACGTTGATCGTCGGTTAAACGGCTGCGGTTGGAAAAATAAAAATTGAGGAATGTAGCAATGCACAACACGAATGAATGTCAGAGCTTTGGGTAGATATTCCGTCGCTTATAGCCCGGCGGCTCGAAAATCAGGAAATTCAGGGATAAATTGAACAAGCAAAAGGTCAGTTATAAACAAGCAGGGTCAATGAAATCCGGAATGGCTTCGGCACCTCCTTTCGGAGGGTCACACCCAGTACCCACGTGGGAAGACTGAGCGGTACACACTTCGAACTTGGGTTTTCAGTTAGACTCAATTGCCACGATGGGAAGGACGGTGATGGAACAGCAAGGTGAAAGGGTCCGGTGACTCGAAGTGTTAAACATTGTTTCACTCGCACAGCACAAACGGCGGAAAAATGCATAACGCTGAAAGTGGCTGAAAGAAAATGGTTTAAGGGGTAGGTAGCGTGAAGGACCATGAATCAAATTGACAGTGGAAAAGCTTGAGCAACAGTTTCGGTGCAGGTACGTCGGCAAGCGTCCTTGCCGATATCCTCAGGACACTGCAGAGAGCTTTGTTAAGTGGAGCTCTGCAGGCCTGCTCCACTCCCCTGCCTGTGGAATTCCCTGTCATGGTGGAAAAAGTGGTGAAGGTGTGGAAAACCCTTAGAGCCAGGGTGCGACACACACACACACACACACACACTTCTAGAAACCAGTGGAACCTCCTGATTCTTCGGATAGTGCGACAATTATTTAGCCCAATCCTCTTGGTGATCTTAGCAGATGACTCCACTCCATCAGAGGCCCCCGACCCGTACGCCGGATCTAGAGCAGCAACGAGGTATCTGCACAAAGTTCAGGGGCAGTTCATTTCAATTCACCTGCATGTTTGAGGGTCTCAGCTGCGCATGCGGTGCTACAGCTCACTCTTTTGAACCACACCTCCATGAACGAGAATCCTCACGGCAGCTTCGGACTGGAACTGAGTCGAAAGCATTGTGGTTGCTCGGGGCTTGTTCAAGCAGCACAAGCCACCGCCCACCACCTTCAAGTCCGCGATCGCACCGTGGCCATCATAAAGGCCGAGTCGGGTGTCGCAGGTCCATCAGCGGTCACCGCCAAAACAGCAGGCCAAGCACGAGCACCGCAGAAACAGTTCCCGCAAGGAGCGGAGCTGACAGGTCGATGGTCGACACAGGCCTGGGAGTATTTCCATAGCCCTGGCGGTAATAGAACTCATCTAAGTGCCGTGCTTCTTCCGAAGACACTTTGAACAGCGATGGCAAAAAGCTCTTATGGTTTTGTTGATCTTCCATACCTACAGGCCCATGCACACTATAGATCAAACACCGATCTTGGTCGCTGAAGTTGGGCGTGGCCGCATGCTTCGTGGTGTACCAAAAGAGTAGGGTCTCACCACGTCTTAGCGGAAGAGGTATATCCATCTCCCCAAGAGATTCGTCTGGTGGGGCAGCCCCGGGGCTCTCTCTATGCCTATGGCTGTATGGCTGTCCGTGGATGAAGCCCACAGTTTCAGGGTAGTTCTTGGCCGCCGTCACTGCCACCAACAGCTGCTCCTCCCCGTCGCGATGCCAGACTGGTGGGCCAGAGCCTGGGAAGTTCCACAGCGCACCCAGCACAGATTGCTGGCACTTCGTGGCCAAGCACTTTTGCGCAATGCCTTGCAAACACTTGTGGCCAAACCACCTCGAGTCCTTCAACCTCTTGTTCTCTAGGAGCTTCGGCATGTCTAGACGGCCTTCGGAGTAGCAAAGCGCTTCCTGAAACTCAAACAGCCTCTCAATTCTATAGCAGCCCTTAATCCATGGTGCCCGATCAAGTAGCTGCAAATGCTCCGTTGCTTCTTTCACACGCTCCAACTCCAATTCTGCTGCTGACTGAGCTTCTATAAGCTCCTCCTCTGAGAAAATTGATGAACCTCTCAGGACGGCGAAGCCAGTGTCGTTGAGTGCCGCGGCTGCTGACAGAAGAGTCTTTTGCGAAAGACCTCCACCTCCCGATTCGGCTGGGGAGACCTCAACCTCCCATGGATGCGTTGCCAAAGAAAAGGCCTGGAAAGCCTGAAATATCAAAAAGGCACTCAAGGCACCAATGAAGAGCACACATTTCTCTGCGAAGCGGTTCTTCCGTACCATCGCAAACCCTGAAGAAACCCAACAAAAAAAAAAAAAAAAAAAAAAAAACACATTCTGGGTTTGCAAACTGGCTTATCCTGACTTGAGACTTTTTTTGTTCCTGCGTGATGAAAACACATACGGCAACACACAGGAAACTCTTATAAATTCTTGCGGCGCCCGACGCAAGTCATGAACACATGTTGTCACATGCTGTCACATGTTGTCACCAAAAAAACTGCAAAGCTTTAACCTTGGAGAGAGGTTGGCGCTTCTGGCCTCGAGACTGGCGCTGCCATATTCCTGGCAGGATGGGGTGCATCCTTGCGTTGGTTGATGGGCGTGGCGCTCAAAAGATCTTGCAGTCGAGGCTTGTCTACGTTACGTTGAAAAAGGCTCAAAGCATGCCGCTTGCAGCCGTTCTGGCGGTTGCCAACCTTATGATGGATGGCTATTTCAAGAGGCGAGCACAGGAATGGATTCCTTCTCCATTGCCCAGTACACGCCTTTCATTGAATCATTGATCGTAACTCATGGCCGCTTGCTGGGAGAAGAAACTTGAAGATCATCACTGGGGAACCCAGCAAAGTCTGTATCGGCGGCGGCCCATTTCATATCCCAGCACCTCGTACCTGCAAGCCGAGTGTGAAGCAAAGAATGTCCACCAACACTCGGTATCTCCCTGTCTGATAGATCAGAGATGTGCCCAAGGACACCACCGGGTATCAATGTAGTATCGTATCGTCTCATAGTCATAGTCATAGTGCACACACTCCACACTGTGACAAAAGGTTTTTCAGTTGCATCAGTTCCCACGAAAATAGGACGCAAACGGCAAGGCGGCTGGGTCAGTGGAGTTGAAGGTGTTTAACAAAAATTGGTGTGACTGCGCACGTTAGTTACTGAGCACGTAGCGAGGGAAACCTGCTTTGGGATCTATCATGGGAACGACCAAGGAAGCAAACCAAGAAAGTAGACAGCGTGAACAACAGTTGTTTTGCAGGTACACACCAAGGCGTCCCTTGGCGCTTCCCCTGTCACATCCCAACTTCGTTGGGCCAGGTCGGATGTGACAGGCCTGGCCCCCCTGCACAAAAGTGGTACCCCTCGGGACGGGGTGTGACACACACACACACACACCCGGCCGCTTTGCGGCGCTCTCGCGCAGAACCGGAATAGGCACCTAAAAAGCCTTAGAAGCGAAAAAAAGAAAAACAGAAAGAGCAGCGCTAAAAGGGCAGGAGAGAAAGATAGGACTAGCAAAAGGTGACTACTTAGCCCTTGACTGGGGTAGGGAAACGAGCCTCAAGAACCACCTAAAAATCCTGAAAGAAAGCCCAAGAAACGACGAAAAACGTAAGAAAGAAAGAAAGAAAGAAAGTGGGGGGCAGGGAGGGGATGTATGTACATGTGTGTGTGTGTGTCCGTGTGTGTGTGTTTGAATACTTAGCACTCTAGAGTTACTGATTACTTAACGGAAGCTAATTAGGTGCATAGTTAGGGAGCGTGACTTTAGTCTTAAACCGCCCGGGTAGAGTAGACTAGAACAGGGACAACAGAGGGAAAGGCACCGACACACAAGTGTGTCGAGTACCATTTCCCTCTGTTACCCTAATTAGAGGGGGGGTTAGAGAACTCGGCGGGGGTTATTCTCCGTATGCACTCGGCAGTTTTGTGGCAGTAGGTTCATGGTGTGAAACATTCAATCCAAGAAAGACAATCCAACGTTTGCAGAAACACTATATCCAAATGTGATCCACAATGAACTCAGCGCCCCAGTGACGGGGATCACACTCTGCACCCACGGGGGCGACAGAACCGCGCACACTTTGACAAAGGGTTTTCAGTTACATCAACTCCCACGAAAAATGGACGCAAACGGCAAGGCGGCTGGGTCAGTGGAAGGTGTTTAACAAAAAGGTTGGCATGACTGCGGACTCTAGTTACTCAATACGTAGCGAGCCAAAAATGGACGCAAGCGGCAAGGCGGCTGGGTCAGTGGAATTGAACGTGTTCAACAAAAGTTTGTATGACTGCGCACGTTAGTTACTGAATTCGTAGCGAGGGAAACCTGTTTTGGGATCTATTATGAGAACGACCATGGAAGCAAACCAAGAAAGTAGACAGCGTGAACAACAGTTGTTTTGCAGGTACACACCAAGGCGTCCCTTGGCGCTTCCCCTGTCACATCCCAGCTTCGTTGGGCCAGGTCGGATGTGACAGGCCTGGCCCCCTGCACAAAAGTGGTACCCCTCGGGACACGCACACACACACACAAGCACGACACCATGTCATCATGTATATAAGAAGTTGCTTTATCCTTGGCAAGGACATTCAACGACATGGTCAACACTCACAGCCCGTCCTGAGAGACTGAGGAGGCCCAGGAACGACCAGATTAGACAAGCTTCGCTCGCAAAGATCCTGGGGCGCATGAAACATTTGCACAGTCGCCCATGGAGATGAGTCGGCAAGAATGCAAACGGACGCACAAAAAAGACATACTTGCGGCATCAATACCAAAACGGGATGATCAAAGATGTTTCTACAACAAAACAGGCACGCTCCAAACACACAGCTGCCGTAGCTTCCAAATGAGCCTTGGCTTCACGGATGAGGGCGGTGGTCTTCTCCACACCCTCGGTGATTTTCACCTGTTTGGTGCATTGGTCGCCAAGCTACTTAGGTCTTCAACGTTGTGGGAGCCCTCTACTCACAACTCTCATTTGTCCCTGCCACCTGCCACCTTGAATGTTCCATAACAATCTTCACGTGCCACCATGGATGCAAGCCTCTGGCTGAGACCCCACAGGCAAGTACCACCCACCCGTTGATAAAAAGGATCTGACCTTGCCTCAGCGTGACCGTGAAACCCATCCAGGCCTTGTCTGGGTGCAGCTTCCGCATAAGGCTCCGGTAGCTGCCTGAGGCATGCTTCCGGGACCACCCCATCAAGGTTTCCATATGTTTCTACTATGACTAGGCTGGGTTTGCGACGCTGCACCGAGCCGCTGTCATGCGAAGCCTTGGGCTAGAACATGCTCACAGTAAGAGAATCCCAAACACACGGAGGCACCCAAAGGCCCTGTCGGATTTGCTGCCGAATGCATGTTAACATGAGTTATCATGGCAGTGGCAATACGTGGAGTCAACAATGGTGGGGACATGAGAAACCAGTCCACTTTAAGAACTTCTTCCAGCTTGGCAACTTCCCTGTGTATGGCAAAGCTTGCTCCCCTCTCCCCTTCGGTTTCACATGGGCCTAAGTAAGCAACTGCTGTGAATCTTTATCCAAATCGTGCCACTTCACATCGCCAAGGAACACCCAGCACAGCAAAGGCCCAGAGCGTAGCTGAAGGGAAGGCCTGGCACTTCAAATTTTCTGGAGTCCAAGATCGAAGACGATACCATTTCTGAAGTTCTAAGAGAAACGGCTTCAAACCTGAAACGGCCTCTGGAAAATCTTCATAATTTTCTAAGAAGGAACCGTTTCTGATTTCTGAAGGTTCTCCCGCTTGAATATTGCTGACCTCGCGTCGTAATGGCAAGATGCGAAGCACCTCCTCCTGTGCCTCAAATTGGCCAATGTTAAGAGCACAGTCACGCTGACTCTCCTGACTCTTCGAGCCTTCTAGCGGACTGAATTCTGACTTCGCACATCTTCAATGGTCACGACTTGTGAACTGTGTGACACTCCCCAATGTCTGACCTAGTCAGCTTGGTTCCCAGCCTCACGATCACGGCTGCTCTCTGCCTTCTAGGGAATCCAAACTGACATGAGAGCTGATCACTCTCATACCCGCCTTTGACCAACAAAAACTCTGCAGGTTCACTTTGGTTTGGTCTGTTGGACATTTAGCCCTGTCACAACTCGACCTTGGCCAGGCGGCCAGTCACTGCTGCATGCTGATACATTGTTCTGCAGCTTCAACACGGTGGACTTAGGAGGTCGATGATTGCTTCATTCTGAAGTCATCCAAAGTCTGTACTAATACCCATGCAGCGGGTGCGTGCCTCAGTTCTGGCAGGCACTCTCGGCTGCTCCTGCGACAAATGTAACGCTAAGCTCCCTGATGCCAACTTGACACCCGTGTGCTTCTCCCTGTCCTGCACTTGTTGGGAGGCTGGCTGCGCACTAGGCGAAAGCCGTGGCCTCGCCTAAGTCCAAAATTCAGCAAACTGCATCAGCGTGCCACATAGGTTTAGCAGTTTAGCTGGTGGGGTTCTCAATGATCTGATTCAGAGCCCTCTTGCTTGGCTGTGCGCTCTTCATTTGTCTTCATGTATTTTCAGACTCTCGGAACTCCATCTCCCAGCTGCTCAAGAAATGTTTTGTTCTCCGCTCTGGGCCAGACTCTGTCCGAAGGCCTTTGCAAGCTGGAGAAGCTCCGCCACAGCTCCTCCCGAAGGACACACGGGAAGCACTGAATACAATGGGAAGTGCAACGCAGTCACAACAAGTGCGCAGGAAGGTCTTGATACGGCTTGTTGTCTTGCCTGCATGCTTAGACCTTGGAATGCCTGCTTTCACGAAGACAACTCAATTGGCAACAATTAGTGGAAGCAGCTCGGATGGTACAAAGCACTTGCACTTCTTGAGCTCAAGTTACCTTCTGCTCTCAAATCAACGCGGCAGCCTGGAGTTCTGATTTCTCAACACAGTGGCTGAAGTCAATGCTGTGCTGCCGCAGCAGTGCCTGCTCATATCAAGCAGGTGGCCATCGTGCAAATAGAGGCAAAAAGAAATCGCTAGAACAGAAAAAAGGGACCCAATTCCCAATCCGTTAGTGTACGCACACCTCAGGTGTTGACGTGCAAACTCATGGGCACCAGGCCACGGGTGCCGGGTAACAGAAAAACACAAACTCATAGGCTCCATGACCGATGGTATCTCCATCATTTCAAGTGCACTGTGGCACTTGACCTGTTGCAATATGTCTGTTGCACTAAGGGGCCTGCATTGCCATCAAATGTGTTCTCGACAAGCGACTACCGTCATCCACTCACACTCTTTTCAACTCTGCACAGTTCAAGAGGTGGAGGCAATCTCAAAGGATCGCACTCCTTACGCAACTTTGTCGCATGAACTGAGTCAGCCGAGTGCCTTTCTTGTGTCAAGGTTCACACTCAGCCCAGCTGGTTGGTCCAGCAAAAGAGCTTGAATTTGAGATTTCAGCCACCAATGTCGAAAACACAAGAATCATTTTACACTCGACTCTACCACTTCATCTAGCAGTGGTTCATGCAGCGGGGTCCCCACTGACATTGCGGCCGGTCAATGCAGCGCATGAAGCGGGAAAGCTGAAACGAGCTGCGCTGAGACTGAGCCTGGGAATGCCAGGCCCTTACTTACAATACCAGTACGCTCAGCGCACCAGCGAGTCAGCTGCTTCATAAGTGAAATCCTGCGTAGTCTAAAGGCACCCAGCTTCGCTGGGAAATCTAATTGGCAATGAGATAGACAACAAATGCTAACATCAAGAACACTCCAGCCTGTCAGCTCAGAAAGGCACATAAGAGAGATCACCGCTGAACAAGCAAACACAAATGGAAGGTTTGTGAGCCGGCATGAGCCAGCAGGTGTGTGATGCAAAAGCGGGTTTGGCCTTGTTCCATTCTTCCCTTGGTTTCGTTAGCCTGTTTCGACTGAAGTTGTTGTGATACTGCGAGGACAGAAATCAGGCACATGGCTGAGGTTGCTCCCTATGGCAGCTCACGATCGGAACGTCGGTGTCGGGTACAACAGCATCAGTGGGAACACATCTCACCCAGAATTGGGCTCTGCACCCCAACCTACAAATGACTCAAATGCCAAGCTTATTCGTGGCAGTATGGGCCACCCTGGGCCACCCTCCGCACTCCAATCATGGCTCATAGTCTTAGGTATTGATGGGAGCAAAGGATGCATTGAGCAAGTTTAGTTTTCTTTGTTTCATTCAGCCGTTTCTACATCTTCGAGTTTCTAAGCCAAACCACATCAGTTGTAAAATGCACCCGTACTGTGCTAGCCCACCTGAAGTTCTAAATCGAGCAAATCTCCTTAAGAACCGAGGGGCATGCCAAGGCTCGGTAAATGATATACGCATGTGCTCGCTTCTGTCAGGGGTCCGCCCACATCAGCCAATCCGAAAGCATTGTGATTGAGCAGGCTGAGCCCCAGTCATGCATATTCAGCACATGTAATTTTATGTCATCCCTCCGCCCAAAGAGGCCTCGGGCCTCTGTGATCACACGGATACGGGATCTTTGACCAGCTTTGACAAGCGTCGATGCAGGAGCTTGCACCACAAGCCACACTTCCTAGAGAGAGAGAGAGAGTGTGTGTGTGTGTGTGTGTGTGGGTGGGGGGGTGGGTGGGGGGGTGCGTGCGTGCGTGCGTGCGTGCGTGCGGGCGGGCGGGCGGGCGGGCTTGCTTGCTTGCGTGCGTGCGTCCGTCCGTGCGTGCGCGTGCCAGGTGGTCCTGAAGAATGCTGTATGTATTGAAAGGTCATGACAATCGAGTTGGCTATGAGTGAGCTACTTCACTGAGCATGTCAATGTGTCCAAGCCCCCTTACTCTTCCCAAGGTTTCTCACTTGAACCAAGTATACAATCTCCAATTCGTGCATTGTACATGCCACTCGTCAACACGGAGAAGGTGTCCTCTTCTGTTCCGGACTCATCTTTCCAAAGAATTCGCTTTCTTTTGTGGCGGTGCCCTTCGCTTCCTCTTTCTCCTCATCCTCCTTCTCCTCCTTTTCCTCTTTTTCCTCATCTTTCTCCTCCTCCTCCTTCTTCTCTTCCTCCTGTTCTTCCTTCTCCTTTTCCTTCTCAACGATAAGCTCCTTAATCTTGGCCTTCAGCTGGTCTTGAAGTGTCGATTTGGACTCCTCTGCCCTGCCACCGCTGCATGCGTGACTGCCGATTACCCCTTGCAATCAAACAACCCTTTTGCATCAGTGTGCAACTACAAAAAAAATACTGCAATAGCAAAGAGCAAAGACCCATTCACATGAAGGCAGCAAATTCCCTCCAATCTCTGGATTAGCCACTCTGCCTGGCGGGTTCTGCTATCGGCTTTTTGATCTTCAGAGGTTTTGTCGTCGTGTGCTCATCCTGATCCTCCTTCGAATGCTCCGAAGACGAGGCATCTTTCGAATGCTCCATACGTTTTGGTTTGCTCATCTTCTTGGAATGGATCTCCTGGCAGCGCACAGACCGGCCCTGCTCCAGAAACCCACATGCGGTCGGTTATCTCGGACATTAGGTCGGCAGGCGGTCTCCCGAATCCACTGGATGTTCGGTTCACATTATATAAAGGCCCCCTCCTACTCCTCCCTTCCAAAGTTAACCGGACTTCAAGCTGCACCAATTCTCCTCATGATGGCTGGGGGCACCCTTGCCATGGTGCACTTTCCAAGTGCCGAGACTTCTGCCTGCACTGGAGAGGACAGCCATGGGTCATAACCATTGACCAAAGAAACGCTTCAATGTCCATCAGTGGAGCTCCATCTGTTCTCAATCTCATCGTATGAATGGCTCGTTGTGCGAATTGACTTTTACCTACCCCTACTGTGCTTTGACGTCGTCAAAAAATGCACAGCGTTGGCGTAGCCAAGCTTCTGCGAAAATCATCAAGAACGTTGGCGATGGTTACAGTAGATACAGTACTGATTGTAAATGCCTTTTTTTGTGTGTAATTTGACTGACGCATTCTTCAAAAAGGATCATCAGAATCTGAAAAAGGCTGCCCTCTTCCCAGCTGAAACGAATTGCTCGGGCCTGCAAAGTTTATCAATTCCAGCTTGATTTCGTCCCTGGCTCGAGCAACACTATTGACTGGTACATTCCCAGGATCTGATGTGACGAGCAGGATGCGCTGAATGAGGCTTGGTGTATTGAAACATGAGCCTGTCAACAAGCGTGCACGCAATTGCCGGACCTCGTGATTGTCGCCTCATAGAATCCATAACCTGACCATTCAGACGCAGGGTGGAGCTTAAAATCGCAAAGGCCGTCGCCACGTGTCAAGGATTTCCAAAACGGTGTCACTTGACAGTGTTCCCCGACACTGACCGCACGTGTCGCCTTTGAATCGTCTTGAGCTGCCAGGCTCCAGGTGTGTCAGGTCTGCAACTGCTGCCAGGAAACTGTTGCTGTCATCTCCATGGCTTGCCACTTCAGATAGGATGCCACCCCCACCCCCTGGTCAAACGACACCCGATTCTGTCACCGTCTGTCACCGGTGGGAAAGCGAAGCTTCACAGCTTCACCCACGGCCCGCCTGAGATCACGCACATCAGGCCTGTCACACATGGCTGCTGGACGTGAAGGCACAAGCGCTTGTAGTTTTGGATGAGGTTCAGCTACAATTGAGCCCACAAGCCTCCCATTGGATGGGTCAGCTGTATGTGCGTGTGACCAGTGACCACCAGGTCTAAGCCGAATTCCTTGTGCCTTGTTGATAGCAGGCTTCGGAGGCTTGGAAGAAAGTCATGTTCATTGAAATTCTTTCACTTTCAATCCACTGCACCGCTGAACTCCAAAGATGAACGAACGACAAAAGCATTAAAACGTGGTTGGTCGACACTCGCACCAGCACAACTGAGTCAAGTGGCAACTTCTTGTACCACCAGTCCTGGTGCAGGACTACTGGCAACAGCAACTGAAGCAACAGGGATTTGTGTGATATCTTCTACAACTGTCTGACCACAACAAAGTCCAATATGTCTCTATTCTCTACCTCACTCTCACTCCTTCTCACTCCTTCTCACTCCTCTCCCTCTCCCCCTCTCTCCCTCTCTCCCTCTCTCCCTCTCTCCCTCTCTCCCTCTCTACCTCTCTCCCTCTCTCTCTCTCTCTCTCTCCATCAGCTACACAAGTGCGACAAGTGGGGGCAGGAGCATGCAAGGCAGCTTCCAACATCACAGCCAGCATTACATGAGAGTGGGTACCATCATTTAATGAGAGCAACTTTTGAAGAAAGTGAAAATGCAACAGGCAGCACGGGCAAATGCCTTAAACAGTGCAAAAAGTGTCGCCCAGAAAGGGAGCATTGCTCATCTAAGGGCAGGACAAGCTAGCAGACACAGCCGATGTTCGTTGAAGCACGCATCTTGACACTATCAAGACCTATATATATATATCGAGAAGCACAAGCAGGACTTGGGCCTTCCCCTTCTCTTTATATTAAAAACATATCAATACTATATACACATGTATAATCATGTGCATATGCTGCATACTTAGATTATATAAGTCATATCGCCGTCTATATATATACATATATATATATATTCATTCTGCATCATGCCTACCTGGGCCCACCTCTCATCTGCATCTCTGCCACTCCCTTCCTCTCTTTCTCTCTCCCCTCTGCGTGCGCACTCTCCCTCTCTCTTCTCACATCATCTCACCATCCACTGGCGTCATTGATGGCGTCTTCAAGAGGCGCAGGTTTGCATGTTTACATCCAGAGTCGGTTGGCTGCCAGGCTTCGAGCGCAGAACAAAAGTCCGAAACAAAGAACGGTTTCTCTCAGGCGCCTGATGTCCACAAGGAAAGTGTGTCACCTTAAAACGAGAGGACAGTCAGTCATGCGGCCCCTGCATTCGGTATCAAACGGCCTATGCTTGAGCTGACACACTTGGGCAATTCGATTGAATGCATCTCATCCTGCGAAGGGCCAAAGTGCAGTCAAGACACGAGCACCTGCCATGTTGCTTTTGATGCGTTGAGCTTCCTGTAAGTCCAATGCTGTTGCTCCTGCAGGGCGCGGCGGAGCCCCGCCACTGATGTCTGGAAGGCAAACTTTGCAAAAGCTTTGACTTCGACGTGTGACGTGTGGCAAAAGTCAAGTCGAGTGCGAACCGCTCCAACCACAGGTTCGCAAAGTATAGGGGGCCTCAAGAACAGCCAGCAGAGGTCGCCAAACATGGGAGCTCTTGACTCTTTACGAGAAAAGGTGCCAAGATTTCTCTAGGTGCGCAGTGCACAGACCTCAAAATATTTGATCCAAGCAGCAACTATCAATGGAGTCAGGGCCTCCGACTGCTGCACAGTTGGCGCCGGGCGGGTTGTGTGCTGCGCTGCACAGGTTCCTGAGGAACACTTGAGGTTGGTTCTCGAGACTCTGTTCAAAGCTACTGTATCCTCTCTTGTCCCCAGACCCTCCGCCATGACAAACACAATATAGAATCTCCATCCATGACAGGCCCAGAAACGTGTTCTGTCGCAAGTTTGAAGGTGCAGCATCCTGAAAGCAATTGGATTTGGAATGCCACTCGTTCATTGTAACTTGAGGCCAGAGGGGGTGAACGAAAGCTAGCCAGGCTTCCGGTGGTCTGCTGCTGGTGCTGCTGCTGCTGGTGCTGCTGCTGCTCTGCAGGCGCCGGGTCGTCTGCTGCTGCTGCTGCTGGCGCTGGGTGGTCTGCTGCGGCTGCTGCTGCCGCGGCGTTGGGTATGCTGCTGCCGCTGCTGCTGCCGCCGCTGGGTGGTCTGCTGCTGCTGCTGGTGCTGCTGCTGCTGC